TGGGCTCCGACGCCGACGCCGCCGGCCCCGGGCGAAGGCGGGGCGTTGGGGACCAAGCTCGGGGCGCCCCCGTAACACAACACCATCGTTTTCTTGTTAAACATGGCGGCCTCCTCGACGCTTCGCGGACTCTTATTCGACGACGCGGAGCCGTTGAGAGGGGAGCGGCGCTTCGCCGGCGGGCCCTTTATATCAGCTCCGCCGGCACGTGATGTCGCGAGACGCTGAGGACGGGGCGGGGCCTCCCGCCAGCCTGGCAGGGGCGGAGGGGGCGGGGCGAGGAACAAAGAGGAGGGAGCTCCCCCCCATAGACTCACGAAACTGGAAGACTTGACCTACCCAGGTTCCCTTGCCCGCGCCTGTCTTTTAAACTGCCATTAATATCAATAGGGGAAATGAAGGATTAAACGCCGCAATCCCCGGTGCCAAAACAAACTGTATCCGGCTACAGAGTGCCATTCAGTTAATCGCTTCGAAACTCGTGTTTCGTGCAAGGACCTCAAGGGAACCCTCAAGATCTCAAGGTTTCTTTTTTTGGGGCGGGGGCGTTGTTTCACAACACCCCTGTGAGGTGGGGCTTCACAGCTATAGGAAGCTGTTTTGAATGTCTTACTTGTGAATGTGGTTATTCCATCCCGGATTTCATTTCATTCCATATGTCCGAAGAAGTGGACTTGATCCACAAAAGCTCACATCCCTCTTGGGATTTTGCCTAATTGCACAATCAGGAGGAAGGGCCGTGGTGAAGGGAGACCAAAGTGAGTTAGCACTTTTTTACACTTTAAGATCCATAATCTTAGAACTGCGGAGCTGGAAGGGACCCTCTGGGTCATCCAGTCCAGCCCTCGTCGAGGAGGCCCCGACGGAAATCAAACTCGCAACCTCTGGCTCGGGCAGCCAGAGACCTCGACCACTGAGCTTGTCCAGCTGTTCTCCCAGGGAACGCATGACTCGTGGGACCAGGAAAGGAAGGAGAGCCTCCACCCAGGTCTATCGGCCAGATGCCCTTGTGTAATAAAAGGATTACGAAAAGGGGCGGTGAATAAACAAGAGCTTGTTTGGGGGAGGGGCCGGAAGCAGCTTTCCCACAAAAGCAGAACACAAACAAATGCTGGGAAGTTCCAATAATCGATATCCAGATAAAATGAGACAAGAGCAAGGCCAAAGCAGAAGACATGTGTGTGTGTGTGGGGGGGGGGTGTCGGAAGCATATTCAAGGGAAAGTGCCCCTTCTTGGTGCGTGTTTTGTGGCCAGCAGGCTGGTTGTGGGGAAGGGAGGCTAGGCCAGCGTGTGCCTCCTGCTCCCAGTCACTGATGTCTTTTTGACATGGAAGTCTAGACATCCAGGATGAAGGTTCGAACCCTTGAGCCATTCGGAGTCTTGAACCTCCGCTCCCCAAATCACTGACATTTGATGGGCCCTGCTTGAGGATTGTGGGGGCTCAGGTCCCCCCAAAAACAGGCAGCTCAAATGTCCCCATCTGGGCCAATGGCCCAGACTGGCCCCCAGTTCCACAACTGGACACATCCTTGGGTGGCAGGAGGCCAGGCACCTCCTGCTGAAAGGACCGGGCAGGAGGGGATCCAACCCTGCACGAGGCGTGGCTTCCCAGCTGCTTCCCACAGAGTCATGCTATATCAAGGGGACTCCATTGCCTGCTCCAAAATCAATCTGCAACTGTTGTGTTTCCCACAAAGCGGCAGCTCATCACAACGGCAACAGCTATTTTCAGTTTAAAGGAACAAATACAGTGTTCACGCATGACTACTTGAAGCTGTGAGAGCTTGGGTAGTGCTGCACGCAAGACAACTGGACAGCCATGCCCTCTGCACCCCCTTGGACACGAAAACACGTGGATCTCATCCCAAAAGTCATCTCTAGGTATGACCAGATGTGGTGACAGCGGCTGTGTGAAAAGTGGATTAGACAGATTCCTGGAGAGAGAAAAGGCCTATCGATAGCCATTAGTCACAGAGCTCAAGGAGCCTCCACCTTCAGAGGCAGTCTACCAGCTTAAGGCCAACTCTGGAAGATCCAGAGCAGGAGGTGGATTTTGGGGAGGCCAGCTGCCAATTCTGACATAATAAACACACTGCAAAAACCCAAAGGTACTTGGCGTCTTGCTTTCTCATGGAGCGAAACGACCACGTTGACTGGGGAGGAGTCTGCGGGCGCTGTCTTGATGGCTGCTCGTCTAGGGGATGGAACTCTCCCACACTCCAAGGCGTCAGGTGTAGACATCATGGGCAAGCTCATGCCTTCTAGAGGTTTGCCTCTTTCTTTCCAAACAAGTTTGTCTCTGAAGCGAAGCTGGCTTCAGAAATAGTCTGTATTTAACATTTTAATAGATTTTTAACATTTTGCCTATAGTTCATATACATCTGCAGTTTTAAATTGTGCAACACTCTGAAATGAATAAAGAAAGCAAGTTGAAAACTGAGCTAGAACAAAAAGCTGGAAGTGGAATTCAGCCACCTCTCTTTTTGGCCACCTCCTTATTCCCACCATTCTCGTACTGGCTGCATTGGTACAAAGGTAGGAAGTCTTTTCTGGAGATGGGACAGAAAACAGCTTGGACGTTGCTGCCTGGGCCAGGATCTGAGCTAGCTTCAGTGTAAAGACAGCCTGCTCCACTGACCAAAATTCAGTAGAATTTGGTTTCTGCTTTTCTCCAAAGCAACCGAGAGTCAGACAACAGGATATCACAGCTTCTCGGGAAGTGACACATTGCTGACTTTGTGCAATTTGACCCTACCCGCAACCACCAGCTGATTTTCCAACTCATTCTGCAGAAACAGAGGGCAGGGCATGCAAAATATACCCAAACAAGATCTGTTGTTATGTTTCCCTCTTAGTGAAAAAGCACATTATCGTCTCCAGATGCCCGGAGTTCTTAATATTAGACAAAAAGCTACACCAGCCTCCCACGGCATCCCAAAGCAAACACTCTCTTTGTGAGACCCAATCTGCCCCCCCCCCCGGTTAAAGGGCAACCTGTGCTGAGCTTCAGCTGCAGCTCAAAGCCCCAAAGGGTGAAGTGAGTCAGTATTTACTCCTCAGATTTTGGAGCATGTCTCCAAAAAGTCATGCGCTTACATAATCGGATCATCTAAACCGGTCACCTGGGATTGCATAATAAACCTGTGGTGGGAGAGGATTTGCGGAAGAGCTAGGGGGAAAAAACACACCTTGTGCACACAGGCGGCAAGGATGTCAAACCACAAGCCTAACCCTGGGGTGGACAGTGGCCAATGGCAATCTCTGGTTTTAGGAAAAATGCAAATATAAATTAGCAAAACATAACATCTGTTGAGCGTCTTCCTTTTCCACCTTAGAGCACTTCAGGAGACCCAGATCTGATACCCAAGAGGGACTTGGACTGTCTTTGGACAAAGGGGGGGTTACGCACTCTGCGCAATACTGTGCCAGCCCATGCTTTCCAACGCCAAGATCCTTCTCATCTCAAATCTAGAATTCCACTGGAGGAGGAAGGAGCCGCTGTGAAAAATCAGCAGCCGTCAAGTCCAGGCTAGAAAAGAATCTGGAAATGGTGTCTGCATTTGTGGGGAAACCATCCTCCAGCTGAAAGGCAGAAATTCAATTCTGTACATGCTCTGAGGCACTTCCAGAAAAGCAAACTCAAGTCGGGACCGTACGTGAGACTAAATGCTGGGGCTCGTTGGACTGTAAAAGCTAGGGAGAGCTTCTGGTCCTCCTAAGGGTACCACCTGTTATCCCTACCCCATGCCCAGCCTCAGAGGGACATTTCTCCCAGATCTCCACCCCTTCCCAAGCCTGGAATTATAATTTTTTCCCCACAAAACAGCCCCTCATAAATATCTTTATGACAACACATACAGAAGGCAATTGAAAAAGGGCAAAGTGTTCTTTTAGAGGACAGCTGCGGGGAAATTACAGCTAACCTTTGAATGATAACACTCAGGCGAAATTGTTACCCTTGCCCTACAATGGGCGTGTGTCACATTTGCGTTAAGCAAAATTCATTGCAGTTTAGACTGAACCGGTTCCAAGGGGAGGCGCATACAGTAGTCAAGCTCTCCGCCTGCCTTTGTACTCATCCAGCTGCATCCCCCTCACCATGCCCGACTCTCTGGCCCCTCAAGATCTTTTCCAACACCACAGCTGTCCCAACCCTTTTCCTGCCCTGGAGTAGCCCAGTAAAGGCATTTTCGGAAACGGACATCGGGACGCAAGGGGGTGGGGGACACAGCTACCCTTGCTTTTTGACCAATGCTTTTTAAGATGACAAAAGCGGTAGCCTTGCCTTTGCTCCATTCTGGGATTTGGGTGGGCTCCCCTCCTCTCAAACACTGTTTAGTGCTTCTGCCTGCGGACATCCCACATGAGGCCGGCCAGCCTCTTCCAGCAAGACATTCCATTCCAGTTATTTTCAGGCTAACAATCAGCAGATCAGGGAAAGTCACTTCCTTTGCAGAAAAGACAATAAACAGAGGAAGACCTTGTGATCATCTCCCCACCCCCTTCATCCTTCCAGTTCTAAAAATCTGCATCCCCCAGGGCTGAGGAAACCTCGGTTCCTGCCTGGGCAAACAGACCTAGCAATTGCAAGCACCCTGGGGTGGTGGGAGGGGGGGGGAGGCAAAAGATTATCAGTCAAGACAAATTCACCCAGTCCTGAGGCACTGTAAAGTGTCCAAGCAGCTTCTTCTCAACTTAAGGCATTTTTTGGTGTGGGTGGGTGAGAAGAGAGGACTCGCCTGCCTTATAAACTGTAGCTTTTAATTTTGAGCAAGGCTGCCTATTTTTGCCCTGCAACACTTACCTAAGGGAGGAAGCTGACCTATTTCAGGCCAGGCCCACTCTCTGGGTCTCACCGACCTGACCTCTCAGGGCTTGTTGAGCTGTGGGGAAGAATGAAGAGTCGGCCACTGTAAGAGGGAGGGCAAATACAAGATGGACTGATGTGCTGAAGGAAGCCACGGGATTGGGTTTACAAGAGCAGAGCAGGCCAGCTGAGGACAGGACCTTTTGGAGAAGGCTCATTCGTAGGGTCACCATGAGTTAGAAGTGACTGAACAACTGTGCCCTGTTTTGAGCTCACCGGAGGAAGAGCAACACAGCAACTAAAATGAATAATCATCACCCTGTTCCCAAAGTTTCCCTCGCCTACCTAGATGAACCCCCGCCCCCCCCTTCCACCCTCCACCTTCCGGCAGGCCTGAGTCAGCCGACCATGATGGCATGACACACTCCAGGTTAATAACAGGGTCCAAGAAAGAACCTGGAGAAAAGAAAAACGGTGATTAAGTTTTCAAAAGCAAACAGGAGAGTATTTATTTTTAAAACACACACGCGCAGAGAAGACTGCCCATCCAAGCCTGGCCTTCAAAATATAACAACTGACCGCTGCCACTGTATACAATAGACTTTTTGGAAAAGCTCTTTCATGAAGAGCTTCTTCAAACAGCAAGGTATCGGGGGGTGGGTGGATGTTTCGGAGCAGTGAGGAACAAACTGCAAAGGAGATTTGGCTAAAACAGCCTAGGAGGTTCACACGTCCAAATTTTAAGTGGAGATGGGGAAGGGCTTCCGTTTAAACACGGATTCCCTGAACCTTGCAGACAACGTGGCCCATGGGACGCTTGGAAGGAACAGTTGCCATTTCTGACTTTAAATGACAAGGAAAGAGACTTCCCAGAAGTGTGCTTGTTTTTGAAATCTGTTTTGAAGTGAGAGGGGAAAACCCAGGTTCGCCAAAGGAGGGTGAGACGGAGGAGCAACGAGAGAGGCTTCCAAAGCATTCAGCCACGCTGTTCGCCAGCACCCAGGTTGCAAAGCCAGCACACCAGCTGGGCAGGAGCCAGGCTTCCCACCATCCTCAGCACCCTCCCCTGTCTGAGGGTGCATTCCCATACTTTCCAGACAGAACACGATGACCTCAACTTTGGAAAATGCACAGCAAAGTCCAGCTGACGTTGGCCTCTCCCCTGGTCAGAAGCGAGGCATGCAGGCCACCAGCCCGGTTCGGAAAGCTCCTTCTGCCCTCTGCCGGTCACAAGGAGGATGCCAACGGGGCTGCTGCCCCACCTTCTCTGTGAGATCTGTGTTCCAATTAGCCACACAGGGTGCACATCAGAGGACGGCAAAGTTGCACACAGAGGCCTCTCCCTTAAAGCAACTTTTCCATCTGCCAGAGAATGGCTTCAGCCTGGCCGAGAGAACTAGGACCCCTACCCTCTGGAACAGAAATGGCTACCCTGGGCATGGATCAGGGTCAGGTTGGAGCACACTTCCCTGTACAGTTGTGTGATTGCTGGAAAATAGATTGCACCAAACCACTCCACAAGGGGTCACACAGAGGCCTCTCCCTTAAAGCAACTTTTCCATCTGCCAGAGAATGGCTTCAGCCTGGCCGAGAGAACTAGGACCCCTACCCTCTGGAACAGAAATGGCTACCCTGGGCATGGATCAGGGTCAGGTTGGAGCACACTTCCCTGTACAGTTGTGTGATTGCTGGAAAATAGATTGCACCAGACCACTCCACAAGGGGTCCAAACTGCAATCTAGGGCATAATAAAAAAAGCATCAACTCTATAGGTTAAGACAAGGATTATTTTATTTCCAAAAAGTCATCAGTTAATTTTCCACACCCAGCTCTCTTCCTTCGGCTTCGATCACAACACAACATCTGGAACGGCCCAACACCCAAAGAAAACCAGAGGACACAAATTCACTCCCTCCCCACAAAAAAACAGCAGCTTTAAATGCCAAGCCTGTTGCATGAAGGCTTAACAG